CTTCTGGCACTGAACACTGTCATCTATAAATAACATATTTTATACTATTGCAACTTCTTTTTTAAAAAAAATGATTTTCTTTATTTTTATTATTATTATTTTTTTGGCTGTGTCGGGTCTTAGTTGTAGCACACGGGATCTTCACTGAGGCACGCGGAATCTTTAGTTTGCGGCACACGAGCTTCTCTGTAGTTGAGGCTCGGTAGTTGTGGCACGCGGGCTTAGTTGCCCCGTGGCCCGTAGGATCTTAGTTCCCCGACCAGGGATCAAACCCGCGTCCACTGGACCATGAGGGAAGTCCCTATTGCAACTTCTTGGTTTCTCAGATGAAGCCATGCACTCCTGACTTCCACTGTAGAAAATGTGGTTTCAGCTTTCTTCCACATCCCCACCGTGTGTGCCCCACTCCCCCGAACGGTTGAGGCTCCGTGTTTACCACTGACATGATTAGACGTGATTGTTATCAGTGCTATTCACACATGACCGGGTGACACACTCTCCTTTCCTGCACAACTGCTTGTTTCCTCTCAAGTCAGTTGTTTTATTTTTGTTAGTTTTCATTGCTCTTCTCCAAGTGTCTAAATCTTGCAGAATATTAAGATTTGATCAGTTTTCTCTTCTGGAAGTCCCCTCCCCCAGAGCCTTTGACCAGCTGCCTTCTGAACTGGCTGTTCAGGCCACTGTACAAGCTGTCATCCCTGGATCTCCCCTCAGTATCCTTCCCTCCACTGTGTTTAATCCTGTCTCCTGGCCCCCTGCCCTCTAGTACTTGGCTTAGGTGTTCGTTGTTGGGAAGCAAAACCTAACAGAAGGGAGCACAGGAGATAAATTTTGGGAACATTGCATGTCTGAAAACGTGCTCCCACACTTAGAGGTTCAGCAGGTACGGAAGTGTAGGTAGAAGGTAACTTTCCTCTAGGGTTTTTGAAGGCATTAGCTTAAGTTTCTTCTAGCTTCCAGTGTCACGTTTCCTAAGTGTGGTGCTATTCTGATTCCTGACACTTTCTACGAGATGAGTCCTTTCTCTCTGGCAGCTTTCAGGATCCTCATTTGTCCCCGGCGTTCTGTGACATTGCAGGGATGTGCTTTACTCTGTGTCCGTTTTCTTCCACTCTGCTGGGGATGAGGTGTTTCCTTTCAACTGGTAACTTTAGTTCTGGGAAATTTTCCTGATTTATTTCATGGATGTTTTGTCCCTCCATTTTCTCTATTCTTTTTTTTTTTTTTTTTTTTACTGAAACTCCTATTCAACGATTGGACCTCATGGACTTACTTTCTTTTTCTCTCATTTTCTATCTAATTGCTTTTTGCTCTGCTTCCTGAGAAGTTTCTTCCACTCTACACTCCAAGTTTTCTATTGTATATATAAGTTCTGCTGTCATATTTTTAACCTCCGAGGACGTTTCTCCCCCTGGCACAGCCTGTTTCCTCCAGTTGCTTTTCTTCTTTTATGTTTTGATTTCTGTCTTTTCTGTACATGCTTTCCTCAAAGGTCTGATGAGCCCCAGCTGTTTGCTCATCTTTAAGAGAGGGATACCATGGAAGCCTTTCCTGTGAGGTTCTCTGTGGGGTGATTTGGCTTTGCCTTATTTTGGGGCTGGTCAGATTCCCAAAGAAGAATCTTCCTGTCTCCTGCCTGGAGGTTATGGCTGCCCACGTCTGGGAGCCAGAAGACGAAGAAAGCTGCTGATCTCAAGATTCAGTATGTAGCCGTTCTCTTCAGCCCCCTGCTTTTAGTACTGATTGCCTCCCCGCCCCCATCCTTAGCTTCGGTCTTTGTTGGGGTGCAGGAGGGGCTTTATCTCAGTGTCGAGGGAAGGGCAGGAGATTGGGGTCTTCCTGTCTTTCCGCTGTCCTCGTGTTTTCAGCGTCACCTTCATTCCCTCTTCCAGACTTGTCCACCCCCAAGACTCCCTGGGGTTCTGTGGTTTGTGCTTCCTTTTCCTGTTGCCAGGTTAGCACTGAACTGTCTCATGTCTGGGCAGTTATTCATCCATCTGCTTTCCTGCTTCCTAAATTGTGTTGCTGTTGCCCTCTCTCCTCTTCTCTTTGTCTGACTGTGTTCATTCCATTTACCGTCATTTTCGTGGGACATGGGAGAAAACAGAGGTGTTCAACCTACTATTTTAACCAGTATGCAATTACTATGTTTATTACGTGTTTTGGTGTCTATCTTTCCCATCAGCCGTTGAGCATCTCAAAATTGTAGCCCAAGTGCCTCTAAACAGTTTGTTTCAATACATTTTTATGGAATTAACTAAACAGATTAAAAGAGTACTTTCTTGACTGTGGTTTTTTGAGTAAATAAATGGGATGAGTAGGTTTGTGTCACACAAGGAGAGAAAATTCAGTGCCTCTTTTTAGGTCTGACGCTGAGATCTCTAGTTTGTAATGGGCACGCTAATATACAATTGTTCTGTTTTCCATAAAACCCCACTGACAACTCACTCAGCTAATCCGGGACAATTTTCCATCTTAAAACCAAATAATTAAAAGGGACTTTGAGAGCTCGCATAGTAAATCCCTTTCCCTCTGGCTGGAAGCATTATTAGTCCATTACAGTTCCAAGAAAAGACATTGGCTCAGAGCGTGAGTTCAGACATTCTTGAAAAACTGGGGATATCAATTCTCTAACTCAGTATTATACAAAGGAAAATAGGACAAGGAAACAAGACAAAAGAGAGTATCTTCTAGATCCTTAGACACTAATTACCCCCCACTGCTCTGGAGTGGGGCTCTGGAGGTCCTGAGGCTGCCCTCTGTATTCTCTGCCCTTCTCTTCTGGTCAAGAGAAAGCCTGCAGCCAGGGGATGGAGAGTAGGGCCCTGGCGGGGGGTGGGGGGCGGGCGGCGAGTGGTCCAGCACCTGGGCGCTCTCCTGTCTCCTCCAAGGCCTCCTCACTCACGGGGTTGCAACAGGGGTCTTTACAAGATCTCCTTGCCCTGCCAGGTTTCTTGCTACTGTGACAGGTTACTACCTTTACACAAGCATGTGATGTGTAATATAAAAGATATTAGAACCGTTAAAAAAAAACGTTTTGGAAAGTTCTCTGAAGAACAAATAGAGAAAGAAAAATTGAAGCTTCTTATCATGGGGGCTTTCAAGAATACAAAAACCAGTAAATAGGGAATTCCCTGTCAGTCCAGTGGTTAGGGCTTCATGCTTTCACTGCCAAGGGCCCGGGGTTCGATCCCTGGTCAGGGAACTAAGGTCCCACAAGCCGAGTGGTGCGGAAAGAAAAAAAAAAAAAATCTAGTAAATAAAGCTCCTGTAGCCATTATCCAGCTTTCACAATGATCAACATTTTACCAACGTTGTAAAATCTACTCTTGCCCCCCATCCCCATTCACTTCTTAAAAAATATTTGCTGGAGTAGATTAACACAAGTTCCAGACAGCATGTCATTTTCATCCATAAAAACTTCTACACAGTCTCTCATCGTTCATAACGTTTTTCCTTTTTCTTCCTCTTTCATATAAAACTACAATGCCATTATTATTGTGACCTAAAATTAACCGTTCCTTAATATCCTCTAATACTCCAGTCCACACTCAGATTTCCCAGATTACCTGAAAAATACCTTTCTCCACAAGATTTGTTTGAATCAGGAGCCAGATAAGGTCCACTCATTGTATTTGGTTCATATACCTCCTAAGTCTCTTTTAATTTCTAATGAAAACTTTATTCTTTAACTTACATATAATTCCGTGCTTTAAAAATGAAGGGAGGTGTATAGCAGGCTTGGTTTTGCTGCAGGGGCAGCTCTATTTTAATTGGGCATGCTTCCAAAATTGTAAGTACTCCTGGGGCATGTTTTTCCTGGCTATGTCCTGGCCTAGTACTTCTATTAGGAAGGTTAGAATTAAACTGTTAATCATTTTTACTGTAGCTGCATTCTACCTTACTTACTGATGCAACTTTGGAGACAGTTAATTATTAAATTTGTGCATATTTAAAAATCTACCTGGACTTCCCTGGTGGTCCAGTGGGTAAGACGCCGTGCTCCCAGGGCAGGGAGCCCCGGTTCAATCCCTGGTTGGGGAACTAGATTCTGCGTGCCACCAACAGCCCGCATGCCTTGACTAAAAGATCTGGTGTGCCACAACTAAGACCCGGCACAGCCAACCAAAATAAATAAATAAACAAATATTTTAAAAAATAAAATAAAGAATAAAAATCTCCCTGTTACTTTAAAAAACTATAAATCCGTACTGTAGATTGCAATGATGGTGGCAATTAGATATGTGGAAGCTGAGTTTGGTAATAAACACGTAGATTAGGTATTATCTTAGAAAGGCTTTCAAGCAATTTATTTCTCGTGTCAGTAGTGGGGAGTAAGAGAGTTTTCCGAGGGCAGGATTTCAGTAAAGATCAATAAATGCAGAGCTAACCCCCCGCGTTTCTGGTCATTCCCCTATTTCCATGCGTTCTTCATATTTTTATTTATTTTTTAAAAAATACTTATTTACTTATTTATTTTGGCTACCCCAGGTCTTAGATGTGGCAGGTGGGCTCCTTAGTTGCAGCATGTGGGCTCCTTAGTTGCGGCATGCAGACTCTCAGTTGCAGCAAGCATGTGGAATCTAGTTCCCCGACCAGGGATTGAACCCGGGCCCCCTGCATTGGGAGCACAGAGTCTTATCACTGCCCCACCAGGGAAGTCCCTCTTCATATTCTTAAATCTCTCCTTTAGTCCTACAATCTGGCATTAGCCTTCCCTCCCCCATTTCTCCTCTTGTCGTGTTCAACTCATGTTTATTGTGTGTCTGCTGTGTGCCAGACACATTACAGACCAGATCTCACTTAATTCTTATGACAGTCCGTGGAGGGAGTAGCCCCACTTTGTGGACGTGAAAACCCAAGGTCAGAGGTTGGTGAGTTGCCCAAGGTCACTGCTTTTGCCAGTGCCCCCTGCTCTTAGGATTTTTCGTTGGGTCAGTTAAGGGAGGTGAAAATCGACATCAAAGGAGGTTACAAAACATTTAAAACTCGGCCAGTACCTGCTCCGTGGAAGCCCCCGCAGACGTACAGCTTCCCGTCCACGGCTCCTGCATTGGTAGAATTGGTGCGAAGTGAGAGCAGGGGGCTGGGCATGGGTGGGCCCTCCCTCCAGAAGTCCCCGTCCGGGTTGTAGATCTCCACTGTGTCAAGGCACTTCCGAACCTGACCCTTGTCTCGACCTATGCAGCCGATTCCACCTGCAGAGGGTGACACAGAAGGGAGGTGACCAGAGCTGAGATGTCCCCATGGGCAGTGCCCCCTTTCTGCCGGGTCTGTATCTCAGGCTCATGGACCTTGGTGTGCTTCTGTTGCCTGGTGCTTCTTCTGAGATAATTTGTAAGCAATGGTAATGTCTACTGTGGACTCCATAGCCAAGGCTAATCTCGTTTTATCCATAGTATTCTGTTTGTGCTCACCCATGAGGCTGATTCCACCACAGGCTTTATAACCTACAACATCCAACACTGGCTCACACAATGACCCTCCCTTTAGAGGAAGAATTTCCGGTTTGAATGTGAGGGTGACCCGGTTCTGACATCTGCCTTCCTGTTCGTTATGATTCCACAGACCTGGCTAGAGAGGCAAACATCCTTTCCATCCCCATCATTGCCAGCCTGTCTCTCCTTCTCTTCTTGTTTATTTTATTTTTTATTTTTGGCTGCTCCGCACGGCATGCCGGTTCTTAGTTCCCCGACCAGGGGTCGAACCCGGGCCCCCTGCAGTGGAAGCACAGAGTCCTAACCACTGGACCACCAGGGAAGTCCTTCTCACTCTTTTTTTTTTTTTGCGGCAAGTCAGCTGACACCTTTATTGCATTGGGGAAGGGGACAGATTGCTCAGGAGCTCTTGGTGGGGCGGGTCCGCTGCCTTCACCATCACAGGCTTCTGGCTGTGCAGGATGGCGCTGGCTCTGCGGATGGCAGCCATACGCAAATCTGGGCGGTACTTGTTCTTTCGGATTATGTGCCGGCTGCTGCTGAGGGTGGCCCGGGCGTTCTTGTTGATGGTGGTCCGCACGTAAGAAGTGGCTGGCTTTCGCTGGCCGGATCTCCGCTTCATGACCACCACGACCCCTTTGCCGTCCTCCGCCGGCTCCACGCCCACAGTCTTGCGGTGAATGAGCCCGTTGTAGCGAAAGGAGTTGCGGGCCTTCAGGTTATTGGGTTCGGTGCTGTACGTCTGCTTATTCCTCTTGATCAAGAAGCTGGAGCAGTTCCGCACGACCCTCCATTGCAGATGCGCGGACATGGCGGCAGCTCCTCTTGTGGCGGTGGCCGGGTACGGCCTCCCTCTTTGCTTAAGTGGCAGGAATTTTTCCCCATTAGAGCAGGGCCAGTCTTTGGTAAATTTCAGGTTTGGGGGTCAGGGGGAAGCCCCAAACACAAATGCGTGATGCGTCTTCCGTTTCTGAGTGACGCAGTTCATTCGGTAGATATTCCCCGATTACCTGTTACTCGCCAGGCAGCACGCTCATGATGAGGAGCTGAGAAAGATGAGCGAGGTCTGTTTCTTGCCGTTATTAAGAAATTAATGGGGTGGGGCCTTCCCTGGCGGTCCAGTGATTGCAACTCCACCTTCCCGTGCAGGGGGTGAGGGTTCGATCCTTGGTCGGGGAGCTAGGATCCCGCATGCCTCGCGGCCAAAACATCAAGGCATAAAACAGAATCAATATTGTAACAAATTCAATAAAGACTTGAAAAATGGTCCACATCCGAAAAAACTTAAAAAAGAAAAATTAATGTGGTGCAAAGGGCCATATACACAAACAGATAGCGACATCATGACAAGTACCTTAAAAGAGATACACAGTACACTCAGAAGTCCAGAGATTGTAGCAAGTAGCAGAAATATCATTTACATAATTGTGACTTTAAGTACAACGCTCCATGGGAAAGTAATGGCATAAGAATTTCCAATCCGCTGTAATAAGAAGCCCAGGTTTGTAGGTGACCTTTTTTGTACCACAACGGAAGGTCTTAAATGTCAGGGCTATATTTCCTGATCTGAGGCGTGGCTCCTGGGATGGAGGTGCATCCCCTGGAAGGAGAGACAGTCCTCTCTTTGGTGCCCTCATTCCATGCAGACCCAATCTGGTGACCTGGTCTACACGACCAATCAAAGTTGGGGGAGCGCTGGCCTCAGGCTACCCGTGGAGGGTCCTGGAAGGGTCAGTGCAGTGGGGTGTGGGTGAGGGCTTGGCTCTGTTGTTTATAGCAACACCAAGACCAGAACCGAGACTGCTCTCATCACATGGCCTTTACTCAATGTGTCACTTAGAGATTAATCACATGACACCTCGTGGCATTTCCTCGTTTGTGTTATTTAATTCCTTTTCCCATCGTCATGCTGGTCGGATGGTCCTTCCGTGCATCATCATGTGGTTTCCTATCTTCCTTCAGTACTGCACCCCAGGACCTAGCACAGTGCCTGCCTGACATGTGCGGGTCTGGAATGAATGAACCAGAAAGTTAACTTTTCCTCAGCTTCCTCTGGCCTAGTGGATATGTTACAGGCTCACTGAGGGCAAAGACCACTTTTCACCTGTCTTATATCTCACAGTGCCTGACACATGGTACTCAGTGAATCCGAGAAGATTGATGGGAACAGCTTATTTTCACCCTGGTTGGGACTCACGCAGACATAAGAGGACTTCAGAGGGAACCTTTTTGTTCTCTTTGCCTATGGAGCCTGGCCTGTTTCCTGTCTCAGTACGAACCCAGGGATCAAGGCTATAAACTCAGGAAGCTCTTAGCTGCTTTCCCTCTTTTCCGCCTGGATAGATAATTCAGCCCGTTACTGTGCCAAGTCTGAGCAGCAGCGTTTCCAAGGAGGGGACATGCCGGCCTCAGTTAACTGCACACTCTGTTCACAGGCCCTCTTCCAGTGTGGCGCTGGGGCAGCTGGAGGCTTCTTAGTCCGACAAAAAGTGGAATTTCCTATCTGTGGGGCAGGATGGGCTTAAAGAAGAGGATTTATCTTTAGCAGTTGACCATGGCAACCACCCATCAGGTAAGAACAAGATGATTTGGCTACCTGCTCCGTAAGAGATACTATTCGGCTGGTTTATATTATGAGCACTTTAGAAGACCAGTCTGTGGGGGCAAACAGATGAAATGCAAGTCGCTCAGAGCCAGTCTGGGCACACCCAGCAGCCAGCAACCTGGGCGTAATCAGAAGTGCACATAAAAGCCCGTTAAGAAAGCTTCCCCAACATAAAGCATATAAAGAATGGGTATTATTCTCTCGGTTGTTGAAATAATTAGAGTGCTTGTCATTTCCGTTTCCCTTTTACTAAGTGTATTTAATTCTAACGTTCAGCCTTTACGCTACAAAACTAAACTTCTACATAGGTACCCTTCCTGTGTGGTTGTCAGACAGTTCACAGGCTCCACTCGGGTGACACGGGCTTGCAGGCTCTGCCTTTGTTGCTGACCGCCCGCCCCTGAATACACTCTCTGTCTCACTTGGATGTAATTCTACCACCAAGTACACTCTCAGCACCACTCTGTTACCAGCGACTTAATGAGCTTAAACTGAAAGTGAATGCTGATTAGATAAATAATCAAATAAAAGCATGGTCTTTATTAATAAGTCAGCACCAGCACGACAAGAGAACTCTTGATCCTGGGGTAGGATCAGCACATCTTTAGAATTTCAATGAGATACCTCATATCTTTAATTTACATGCCATCAGTACCTCTGCGCCTGACTTTCCTTTATTCAAAAACAGGCAAATAGAAGTTATCTTTGCAAGTCATACCCCAGTGGACCTCCAGTGCAAAATATATACTTTAGGCTTTATTGGTGGGGTCAGGGGGGTGTAGATTATAGAAGAAGATGCCTCTCTCTCCTCTTTTATTTCTACCAGGATGAAGGCCTGCTTTCTTTGTGTTTGGTGGTCACAGAGTCTTTCCCTCTGCAGGGCGTGGGAGGAACCGTCTCCCCACACCAAGCCTGGCCGGGCACTGGCAGAGGGCGGGGGCGTGGTCCTTCCCTGACATCCTCTAGGACTTACTGTCCATGGGGCCTTGAACACAGCGGGGCTGGTTCCTGACGTCCTTCTGCCTGCAGTCCTGCCTTCAGGTGACAGGCTGCACCCGAAAGGGGAGGGTGAGTCTGGAGCAGTTCTCACCAGCTCCCAAAGTTGCTTGCACGGCTCAACAAGCTTTAATAATATATTCACTGTTGAAGGCTCCCGTGGGCCAGGGAATAAAGCATGTGGGCTTTCGGAAACAGACCATGGTTCATATGCCTGTGTCACCACTTATAGCTGGACAACTTTGGTCAGTACAATTTCTCTAAGTCTCAGTTTTCTCATCTGTTAAGTTTCGGATAATAATTCCAATTTCGTAAGTTGTTGCAAAGGTTAACTTATAGGTAACTATGTAAAGGTGGAGGAGGGTGAGGAGGATGGACATGTGCTGTAAACTATTCCCAAGTACTATGATGGGAATTTCCTTTTAGTTCTTCCCATGCACTCCGTGTGATGGTCATTCTTCCTCTCCCGTGTTCCAGGACATTGTGTGAGTGAAGCAGGGCTCACTGAAGCCACTGGTCTTAGGTCTGCGTGATCTCAGTTTAATTGTCCGCTGCGTCTATGACTGACGGCTGTAGGGGCGACGCTCTCTTAAATGTTTACTTTGAGGTTGGATAGAGCCAGTCAGAGGCTGAAGGGCTGAGAAATAAGCTGAGCCTTCAGGTGGGGAGAAAGTTTTGCTGACACGATGGATCAGAGTAATGCACTGGTCGAACATTCGAGAGGGGTAGGAGCTGTCAGGTGGCAGCATAGGAGACAGTCATGCTAATATAACGCTCGCGACAATGTCCTTCTCACCCTGGTTGTCTGCTCTCTGGTTTTCTTCTTCACTCATCTCGGAGCTCCAGATTTGGAGCCTAAAGCGCTAGAAGACATGATCTAGCTTCTTGTCCCTTCTTAGGGCTCTCTTGGGTATTTTCAGAAAAAAAGCCCTTCAGGACAGGGTGGAAAGCAGGCTCATCTGCCTTTTGCAAACTTCCGGGTCACGCCATAGGCCTGTCTAAGTGTGTTGGGCTCACAGGACACGGGTGGTGGTGCGCTCTCGTGTGCGCACACCCTTTCCACCCACTAACCCCTCCCTGCCCTTCGCCAGCCTTTTCTTGCTAAGAAAACGTTCGTCTGCATTCTGTTCGCTCCTCAAAACAGACGACCAGGAAAATC